TTCGAGTAATTTAATTCAGTCAGAAAGGCGCTAAAAATGTAATTAAAATCACTTTTCGAAATAAACCATTATGGAATTTATAAATACCATATATTGCCATCTTTTTATCGTGATAAATCTATCTACACAATCATTATCTAAATATTAACCATTAATATTATAGATAATTGAGTTTTAATAATTGGATTTCTTCTCTTTTTTTTCGAGTATAGCTGTTTGAGGAAACAAATTATCCATATGAGTTTAGAGCCATAGAATACTTTAGCTTTTTGTGAATTTCCATAAAATATTAAGTTATAGATAGACATATACAGGATCTTTTGTTTGTAAACTAAAATTTTGTAGTTGTTAACAGTACATTGAAAAATAATCTTAGCTCTTTATCTTATATGAACGCATCAAATATAGTAATAAAAAGATTACATAATTGATCATCTTATGTAACAAATTATCATTTACAACTCATTACTATTGGGAACCATTAATTAATCAGAATAATTTGAATAACATATTTTATAGTGCGAATAAACTTAAATGACAGGATCACCTGGTAATAATCACAAAGTGATATTTCTGTCCAATGATTATTTTAACTTCTTTTTGTCATTTTAAAAATTCTATGTTGGTCTCAAAATACTCTGAAAGCATTGGATAAAAATAAAATGGGCTCATCAGCACACTGTCAGTAATTGTTTGATTCATTCAGATGAATATTCTTCAAAGTAATTTAAACCAACATCTTGGGCTAAATCGGAAGCCAAGTACATAGATGTTATCGGATGAAAAATCGAATTTTAAATAATATCAGTGATTGAAAAACTCCAGAGTATTACTGGATAAACTAGACTCAGTATCTTCATGGAAATAATCAAAGTTTAAATTACCAAAAGTAAATAAGGTCTAAAATAAGTTTATAGAAATATATGTTCAATCATTACCAAGTGACAGTTTTGTGTTCGATGGCAATATGAGATGTTATGGAGTGAAATGCTTGTAATATATGAAGAGTATATAAGTAGGTGTGCATATGTGTGTCCTACTGTAGTTTAAATGCAATCAATAAATAAAGCTTTTGATTAAGGCTACTGTCTAACTGATCATTTTATTCCCAATAAAACTTTAAGTACATATGAGTAAATTAGATTTTCCATAGTATGTGATGCTTAAGATTAGTTGCATAATGAGTTTTGATGTTAAATTAAAGCCAATATAGTCAAATCTCAACGATATATTTGACTAAACAGTTAGACATTCATTGTTGTTAGAGTGATGTTATAGGTGATATAAATGCTACCGCACTTTATATCAAGAAACGGCTATCATAAAGTCCCTGACTTCATTCCTTCTATTTTATCTAGATTGTATGTATACAAAGCTTTGTCTGGTAATCTTTCTGAGGTATTTTTATTTTATCAATGTAAATCCTGAAAACTGCTTCTAACAAAACTAGCACAGATCCCTTATCGGTTATCAAGCTTTTTGAGGTCTTCTGATGATCTAGGAACCTGTTTACAATAATGCTTAGTTAGTTTACCCGTAAATTCAGTTACCTGAATGATTCATATAGACATCATTACACCAGCTGCTTTTAATATCATAGACACCTTGATTGTTCCTCATCAGGAATTCTGTTCGAGGTTTTCACTAATGCCGGTCTAACTGTATCACCAACACGAACATAAACTTTTACATAACATTTGTTTAGATTTCTTCGAAATTCCTTGAATGTTTCTTCATACCAAGGAACACTAACCTTTGACTGAAGGGTATATAAACTAGACACCTCTCAAAATGTGTCGATTTTAAGAATACACTAGCTTTCTCACGACTGCTATATCTTTCTTTGATCAAACAATCATAGAGTGCTAGTTTGTAATCAGTCGATTCGATCTCTCTTGCCAACTTAGTACCAGATGACATAATGTTTACCTTTTCAATTCATCCTTTTTATTTATCTCGCTCAGTAAAAAAGAAATATGATTGATATGCAGTTACCAGATGTTTGGTAGTTTCGAACATTTTATGACTGGATTTATTTCTAAAGAACAAATGTAAAAAGTTGTTCGAATCTGTGACTTTGGGGACTCACAGTTCCTATATTTTTGTGTCGATTCAGATTGCATCCGACAGTAAACTAGGTATAACGTACACATAATTCCAAGCACTTAATATTTTTAAGGAGCTTGACAGCCAAAGTAAAGTCGTTATATTCTATCCATTACTATCTCTCAATAGATACATTGGTGAATACAAAAGTAAATATCAGAAGGGGTTTTGTGGATATTACAGTAATTTCAACAGTTCAGATCATAAGCCAATTAAAGCTAGACCACCATAGAAAACCTGGAAGTACCGGATGGCCATTTCGTCCTATTGTGAGAAGCAGTGACCAGTGGAGTTCAACCGAGTCTGTTGTGAGATAGTATCTCACTGATGACAATGGTGTATGTGTTACACAATTTCATAAATTAGTTGAATTTAGACATCAAAACCGTTGGATGCCGGCTCAGTGACCTAGTGGTTAAGCATTCGCGCTCCAGACTGATAAGTCCTAGGTTCAAATCCCGCCAGACGAGATCGTGGATGCGCACTGGCGAGGAGTCCCACATTAGGATGAAACGGCCATCCAGAGCTTCCAGGTTTTCATGGTGATTTAGTTTCGATTGGCTCATGATCCCAACTATTGAAATTACAAAAAAAAAATGAAAACTTATCATATTTTTATCATCAACCTGATAAATTGAATGTATTCTCTAATTGTTTTCTACTAGAATATATAAATGTTATGTCTCAGTATTTATGATCGCTTCCCAATTAATCGTGTTAATTGAAAAAAGTTATTTTTCATTAAGCATGATAGTGTAATTAACACTTTAAATGTCATGCCATTAAATAATCAAGTTACTTTTCACTTTATCTAAACATGTTTACCGAAGCTTTTAGTGACAAAGCTTCATTGAGTTGATAAATCTTTGGTAAATATCATATATTTTATGCATTCCATAAACTATTATTTTTTCTAGATATACTATAAACAAAATGTTACTACTTATGTTAGTTGTTGTTACTGTGATTCAGACTAAAAATAAACATTTTGCTTTCTGAAACAACTAACATATCTACGATGTATTTTGCCCTTAACCTGGCCATTTTTTCGGATTATTAATTTGGATATATAACTGTAGAACCTGATGAGAATTTATCGAAAAGAATATTCTTTCTTCAAATACTAGTCTTTTAATATGACGGGGATCTTTAAACGATATCTATGACAGTCAACAATCTTTACAACCTTATACTGATACCTATAAAAGTCGATTAAACTGTAAAAAGATAATGATTATACATTTGAAGATACACATGAAACTGAATACAATAAAATCTAGTTAATTTAAAACCATATGAATAAGTACAATTGTACTTTGATCAATATATAAACGAATGTACATTTATATGACTGACATGAATTGATTCTAACTTCATCCCATTTTTCTTCCTATTTCTACTTAATTTACATGCATATAGTTTTATTTTAATTATTCCATATTCTTGTCACTAGGTCATAATATATGACCATTGTAGAAAAATTCAAATAGTGGGATATACTAAAGCTTTATATAATAAAAAAATTATTTATCTTTATCCAAAATACATAATCGACTGTCTCGTATGTTTAGTATTATTTCTTTTGTTATATACAAATATATTTGAAGTTCATTAGAAGATGCTGTGATTTGACCTAAACAGTATTCATAGACAAGAGTCAAAAGAAGCTGCTCCGCATTGTAGATATTTATGTTGCTCTAAATAATTTACATTGATAAAGTTTATTGATCATGATCGATAAATGTGTTAAAGGTAACTTGAAATATAAGTCAGAATCAACTGAATATGTGTATATATTATTTATTAATCCAGGATTTTCAGCTGATAAGTTTGACTTATTACACAGTGATTAGTTTCATGAACAACAAAATTTCAAGCTTTACGTTAGGCTGAAAGATTTATATTACGGTGTAGAAATAAATTGAAATAACTAAAATAATAAATACACTCATTCAGTGTTTATCCTAAAAATGTGTATTTCACGTTTGATTGTAATTAGATTTAATTAAAAAGTACATAACAGAAGAATATGAATAATATGTAGACCGAATCAAAACCAGTTAAACACTAGCTGAAGTAATAAAACATTAATTTACCCCCTACTGAAAAGGATTGCTTAGTTAGTACACCTAGTGCAATACAAAACACATAAATTTATCAACTAAGCTAGCTCCTAATTTTGAATTCCTAAGCAAATGTTTTTCTTTTCAGTACTTATCAATCAGTAATGAAGTAAAACTATTTTATATTATAGTGAACGATTTGCTTTTTGATATTAGTAAAGTAACAGTAAACATATATCTAATTATTTTATGGTGCACTAGACAAACTGATCAACCAAAATTGAATTGTTCATATGAATTTAAGTTACATTTCAAATTCGAGTTTATAATGATTATCTGTGGCACTTATGTGTTTTATAACCTTGTCTAACAGTGAATATAACATTAGTAATTTATTAGTTGTTAATTGACATATACTAGAAAGACAGAAACTTCCTACTTCTAAATTAAATTGTACCATGTCAGTAAATCATTAGCTGATGGAGTTTAGAAGTTTATATAAATTAGATGGGCAGATACACTAATTCACAGTTATTTTCACAAATTTTTCAATTTAATAAGTTGGTAAGATATGCATAATCATTGTAATAACACTACACTGCCTACTTCATTCTGATTTATTCTATTCGATAACTGCTAATTTGTATCATATATCATCACTTAATGATATAATTCATCTTTAATTTTGATATATATTTCCTACTTAATTAAATTTCATAAAAGATGAAATATATTTATATGACCTATTCTTACACTTTTTCAGAAGTATATGCCGTCTAAAATGTGGAACGACATGTAAAATTATCAATTTGTGTACATCCGAATAAGAATATTTTTATAATCCTTTAAAACAATGTCTTGAACTACTATTCATTTTTTTTATACGAAGACATTGAATTATGATTTGATGGATATGAAACAATCGATTTCTACACAAATGGAAAGTTACTTGGATAAATATAATGAAACTAAAGAGATTGAATCACCATGTCAAGAAGTAAAACAACCAAATATAATCAATGAAGTAAATGATTCAACAACTATTAAATGTATACATTCAAGTTTACAAGATGAATTAAATTTATCATTTTCAATCAAAATAAATCATTAAAAATAAATCATAAACATATTAAAGCGCCTAAATTAAATTATAATCACCGAGTGAAAAATAAACATTTAAAAAATCAATATTCTAATCATGAAATGAATCAAATTTCAAATGAATTATCTTCTACATCATTATCACCTTTACCAAATGAATATAATTCATCTTTATTAACACAAATTAAACGTCAATTTAGACAATTTTGTGAAACAACTTCATTACGTGGTGTTCCAAGAATTGTTAGTACAAAAGATTCAAAACGTCGATTTTTATGGCTTATCTTTGTAATTTCATTTTTTATTGGTTGTATCACATGTTTAACATTTATTATTAGTCAATATTTAGAATTTGATGTAATTCATCAACCTAAAAAATTATATGATCAACCACGTCCATTTCCATCTGTAACATTATGTAATCTACGTCCATTTTCTACACGTGATATAAGAAAATTAAAAAAAGCTGGAGTGTTACCAGTAGATATGTATTTTGAAATGTTAAAACGTTTTATGATCAGTGTACCAATGGAATACCGACGTTATTTAACTATGTTATGGGATTTTTCTACCTATTTAGCTAATCTACCTGATTTAGTTGATGCAAATAATTTAGGTCATACATTAGAAGATATAGTGAAACGTTGTTTTATTTTATATAAAACAGGTAGTGTAACAAGAGGTACAGCCTGTGAAAAATCAGGCTATTGGACTAAAACACAAGATCGTGTATTTCATAACTGTTATACATATACAATTAATCCGAATAAAACAAACACAGCATTAAACATGGAACTTGTAGTTTATTTGGATAATTTAATTGAACAAACTGATTGCTTTGATTGTCAAGTAAGTAGTTTTCATTAATAAATATTAGTTCATTATAAAGTGTATAATCATATATCATTTAACTTGTTTCTGTTGTATTTGATCGTCGCTGATTCCTTTGTCGGAAAAAAACGCTGATCACTTATACTCGGAAAAAGGGACCACGGAGATTCCCGCGATGTGAAAGTAAGAACACAAGACTGGTATAAGTGAAGATTTATTAGCCCCAAACACTATGACAACGACGAATTAAGATAATCTAAAATACACTGGTTTATATATTAATTTTTCACCCATTTTGATTAATAATTAGAATTAAATCACAGACTCAGTTATAAAAATCACTTACTAAGCATAGTTCAAGTCAAGTGAATACAAGAATATCGCATATTATACAGAAGAAAATATCATACTGGGAGAACAATCAAATATTACACTGAATGATCCTCATGTTGAATCAAAACGGATGTAATATTGAATAAAAGTCATAATGAGTAATTCAATCGAAAATTTACTTTTCTTTCCATCATATCAAACAATAATTAATCTACTGGGTATAACTCGGGTCCTAACAGTTTCACTGTGTTGTACTATATGGACAATTTCGAAAGTTCGCTTTCTCAATACTTTATTGCTATTGTCGATTCATCGATCAAATTATATAGAGTTATCAGAAAGAAGATTTGTGGAGATTGTAGTAATTTTAGTAGTTGAATTCATGAGTCGATTTAAGCTTGACCATTACTGAAAACCTAGAAGCACTGGACGATCGTTTCATTCTATTATGGGACTCCTCAGCAGTGTTTATCAACGATCCCATACGTGGGACTTGGACCCATGACCATCAGTAACGCGTGAGAACACTTAACCCACGAACCGCTGAGCCGTCTAGAGCTTCCAGGTCTTTAATTGTGGTCTAGCTCAGATTGAGTAATGAATTAAACCATTAGAATTGCTACGAAATTCACATATCCTTTTTCTGATAATAATCATGTGCTCACTAATGACTAGCATTAAGATGGGTTCCTAGAGTCCTATTAAGAAGCCGTGACCAGTGAAGTCCAATCCGTGTCGAGTGTAGACAGCTATCCACCTCAGACAGTAGATGAAGGGCTGGGAAATATCATGAGTCGACTGAGATTAGACATTAACATTTTGAATGCCTACCCTGTGGTCTAGAGATTAGGCGTTCGCGAGAGTGAAGTTTCTAGTTTCGAGTCCTACGTGTGGGATAGTCGATGCACACCGCTGAAGAGTTCGAGAATGGGAAGAACCGGCCATTCAGTGCTTCTAGGTTTTGAGTGGTGGTCTATCTTAAATCAACTCATGAATTCAACTATTAAAATTATATAGAATTACATTTATTTGACATTCAGAAAATGATCCGGAAATAAAATACTCATTTAGTTTGTCTTAATTTGAGAGATTGTTAATCCAACTATTAGTTATGTAATTATGCATGCATTTTGTGAAGGTAGACAGACTTAATTTGTAAAATAAACTTAATGGTAATTAATTTTACGAATTGGGTTTCAAAGAATTTCTACAGAATAATAAATGCCATCTGAATAAAACTAAAATCCTCCACCTGTAGCTCTTCTAGAGTTACTCCTGGTCTCAAGCCTGAGTAAATGAGGAGGGTTGAGCATATGGTTGGCAACAACATCTCATAGAAATAAATTTTTCTAAATAAACGCCAACCAGATTAAACGAAGCGAACCATTAGAACTCTGCCCTGAGCGTTGAAGGAAGAATTATGGCGCCTCATGATAAAAACCGAGATTCTTTGGAAGTCATGAGTCTGTTGCATTTTCTGACAACCAGAGCAACAATTTTTATAGGTATATGGAACATCCGGACAGTGTGGGAGACCGTGAGGACCAGTCAAATATCAACAAATATGAAGAGATACGACTTGGCTGTAATGGGATTCAGTGAAACCCATTGGACCCAGCTGAACAGCAAAAGCTAGATACGGAAGAGATGCTGCTGCACTCCGGTCACGTAGATGAAAATGATCCGTACACTAAGGGAGCTGTTCTGATACTGTCCACAGAAGCACGTAAAGCACTTATGGAATGCGAATCTCATGAACCAAGGGTCATCAAGACATCCTTCAAAACAAAGAAGCAGGGAATCACAATGAATGTCATCCAATGTTATGCACCGATCAATGATAGCAATGGCGACAGTAAAGATCAGTTTTATGAGAGACCGCAATCAGTCATAGTAAACTTCCCAGGAAAGGACCGGGCCATCCTGATGGGAGCTTTAAACGCCAAGGTCGGAATGGAAAACACCGGATATGAAGATATTATGGGACGACATGGACTGGGTGAGAGCAACGAAAATGGGGAGAAATTTGCAAACCTATGTGCATTCAACAAATTGGTTATAGAAGGCACAATATTCCCACACAAAGCTGCATGGATCTCACCGGACCACACTACAGAGAACCCGACAGATCATATCTGCATCAATAAAAAATTCCGAAGGACAATGGAAGATGTGATATACAGGAGAGGAGCTGACATGGATTCAGATCACCACCCAGTTGTGGCCAATTTAAAACTGAAGCTAAAGAAGAACTGGACAACTGGTTGAACATCATTACAAAGGTTCAATACAGCCTTCCTTCGAGATACTGACAAACTCAATGAATTTAAGATAGCTCTCAACAACAGATTCCAAGCCTTACGGAATCTCCCGAAAGAAGAAGAAACTACTATGGAGGACAACTGGAAAGGTATCAAAGAAGCATTGACTTCAACGTGCCAAGAGGTTCTGGGCCTCAAGAAGCATCATCATAGGGAATGGATCTTTATAGAAACACTGGACAAGATCAAAGAAAGGAAGAACAAGAAGACAGCAATTAACAACAGCCGAACACGAGCAGAGAAAGTTCAAGCACAAGCTGAATACATAGAAGCAAACAAGCAAGTGAAGAAAAGCATTAGAGCTGACAAGAAGAAATACGTGGAAGAATTAGCAATGACGGCAGAAAAAGCTGCAAGAGAAAGAAATTCAAGAAAAGAGGAACAGATAGGTAGAGTAATTCAAAGAACTCCTGAACTTGCCGGCTCCAATTAATCCACCTGACATCGAAGTAGCACACGCAGATCTTCCTATAGATGTCAATCCACCAACGACGGAAGAAGTTATAATGACCATCAGATAAATCAAGGGAGGGAAAGCAGCAGGATTCGACAATATACCAGCTGAAGCACTGAAGTCAGACATCGAATGAACTACAAACATTATTCACCTTCTATTTAAGAAGATCTGGGAGGAGGAACAGGTGCCGATGAACAGGAAAGAAGGACACCTCATCAAGATTCCAAAGAAAGGAGATCCGAGCAAATGTGAAAACTACAGAGGCATTACACTACTGCCATTACCAGGGAAAGTCTTTAACAGAGTGTTGCTCAACTGGATGAAAGACGCAGTAGACACCCAACTTCGAGATCAACAAGCTGAATTCCACTGGAACCGGTCGTGCACAGACCAAATCTCAATGTTATGGATTATCGTTGAACAATCAATTGAGTGGAAGTTGTCACTATACATCAACTTCCTTGACTATGAGGCGTTTGAGATTGTGGAAAGGAGAACATTATGGGAACTATTTCGACACTATTGCGTACCTGAGGAGATCGTCACCATCATACGAAACTCATATGACGGACTACACTTCAAAGTTGTGTTTGGAGGACAGCTGACAGATGCATTCCAAGTGAGAAGTGGAGTCAGACAAGACTCCCTACTCCCCATCTTTCTCTTTCTTTTGGTGTTCGACTGGATTATGATGACCTCCACATCTGAGCGAAAGCACGGAATGCAATGGATAGCACCAAATCGATTAGAAGATTTGAACTTCGCAGATCACCTGAACCTTCTATCTCATACACACTAACAAATGCAGATGGAGACAACTATTGTAGCAGCAGCCTCTTCATCAGTAAACCTCAATTCACAAAGGAAAAGAGACACCCTCAAATATAACAAGGAGAACAACAACCCAATCACACTTGATGCAGAAGCTCTGGAAGATATGGAATCTTTCACTTACCTGGACAGCATCGTCGATGAACAAGGAGGATCGGATGCGGACGTAAAGGCGAGGCTTGGCAAAGCAAGGGCCGCATTCCTACTGTGGGACCAATTTCTATAGGAAGAAGAAATTAGGAAAAGACGTTGAAAGTGGATAGGACATACATTGTGGAAATCACCAAACTGCATCACAAGGCAAACCTTAACTTGGAATCCTGAAGGGAAACGGAAAAGAGGAAAGTCAAATAACACACTGCGTTGGGAATTGAAAGTAGACATAGAAAGAATGGACAGAAACTGGAAAGAACTGGAAAGTATTGACCAAGATAGGGTTGGATGGAGAGTATCAGTGGGCGGTCTATACTCCTCTGCGAGGGGTAACAGGTGTAAGTAAGTAAGTAAGAATAAAACTAAAAACAAATCAACATAAGAAGTTATTTATAACGTATAACGTCAGGGACGAAACATCACCTCATTATTTTCTAGTGGATACCATTTGGTTTTATTTGCATTAACTTTGTTGTATAAAATAAAATAGGACTTCTACTCATATGACAACTTAATAGATATGTGGATAGATGTGTAAATTTGTTGTAAATGAAACTTCCAAATTATCTACTAATTTCGTCTAAAAATTAATGCCCTAATGGGATTTAATAATTGCTATTAGTTGTTCGCAATTAGTTCTTCGTTATTATAATGTATTAAAATGGAAACTATTTTCTTTTATCTGGAAAAAAACTTTGAACATTAATAACTAGAAAGGTCAATTCATACGGTTAGATCTATGGTTAGTCCAATTCATTCATAACCTTGTTTCAAGCTTTTCCTGTTTAACTGATTACTTTCAAATATGTTAATTAATTAGTAAAATTATCTACTTTTTGAACACTTCATGTCGAAACAACATTCTATGGAAATATAAAAAAAAATTAAGAATTCATCTTCTATCATAATAAATTGAACTCACG